GCATGCCCAAGATCTCGAGAGGAGAATGGAGGAGAAGGGATTGTGGCGTGACCATCCCCCCTGGGGGGTGATTTCTCGCTTTCTGTCTCTATGTCTCTCTCTGTCTGTTTGGCGAGCGCACGCGCCCTACAGTGAAAATCTCTCCAAAAAAAAAAAAAGCATTTAATGGAAGATTATCTGTTGATGATAACATGTATCATACTATCTTTGAATGGACTAATATAAAGTATACCTATGCTGAGAAAATTCATTTGGTATGCTTAAATGTAAAAAAAAAAATAAGAAGAAGAAAAAAATAAAAGAAAGGGGGGAAAAAGGATAAAAATAAATAAATAAAATGTAGTCTACAAAAGAGCCTGGCATATGTTAGATGCTCAATGAACACTTTCAGAATGAATGAATAAAATACTCTTTTTCAAGGAATGTAGTTATTATGTCTAAGAAAAAAGGCGGACACAATCATTTCCATGCGAAACTCAACGTTTCTTATCTTTGTGTTTTTTTTTTATGCAGGATCCACTGTCCCTGCCGTACAGCCTGGTCGAGGACCAGGTAGGTGCTCATTTTGTCCTGACTTAAGGTGTCTGTGAAGTCTGGTGGAGATGGAGGAGGTAGGAGAGTCTGTGTGCCCTGTTTCTGTGCCGACCTGGCAACAGAGAGCCTGGGCGAAGGAGAGGGGGCACGTGTTTGCCAGCAAGCACAGCACTGCACTACCATGGTGCCCGAGCCAGGCATCTGTAATCAAGCCCAGCACCGTTCAGCTCTTAAGCAGAACAGTCACTGCTAACCGATCAGGGAAGCCCTGTGAGATGAAACTCCATGGCATCTTTACTGTATCAGCTCTAGAAATGAAGTCCGTTTTGCCAGGGCTGGGGATGGGTGGGTGGTTAAACAGCTTCTTACTGGGACCCATGTGCATGCCTCGCTTTCATCATTAGGCTTTGAGGGTGAGTAAAAGGAAGCCCACGTCTCTCAGCCTCACCCCACAATTTTACTAGCACTGGGGGAAGCACCAGAGCTTAGCCATGTAAGAATATAATTGAACCAAACGGATCTATACCTTGGGGCAATGCATTTTTTTTTATTGATTCCAACTCTATATTATTATTGTTGCTTAATGAGGAACTAATGTAATTTCTAATGAAGCCACATGGCCCTCAGATAGATGAAGTAAGATTTTATTTCCCCTGTGATGCTGTATCCACTGCTCAATTAAAACACATGAAGGAAAATTAATACAAATGTAAGAAAATTTTTTTCTAAGATTAGTGTCAAGACAGCAGCTTTTCATTACACATGTAAATTTCCAGTGTAATGGGATTGGAGAGACATGCATGGCTGGCCCTCGAGGGGACTGGAGATGATTTCAGTGGTGATGGAGGCTTCACAGGGAGGCTGAAGCTATGGTCGAAGTCACTGAGGTGGTGACATGCTCCGTGTCCGCCTGTCCCCTCTCCTCCCTCCAGTGCCACTGTCCAGCAGAGCAGTCTCCCAGCCTCCTCCTGTAGGCTGTCAGTTTCGCGTAGGAGAATTTGAGCAGTTGCCTTTAAAAATGAGATATGGGTGGGACCAGCAGTTAGCATAATGGCACCTCCTCCTGTAGGCTGTCAGTTAATGCGTAGAAGAATTTGAGCAGTTGCCTTTAAAAATGAGGTATGGGTGGGACCAGCAGTTAGCATAATGGCTATGTCGCTGGACTCCCATGTAGTCGACTGCGGTTGGCGTCCCGGATCCGGTGGCTTAGAACTCATGCCGGGCGCGTGTGCGTGCGTGCCCAAGATCCTGAGAGGAGAATGGAGAAGGGATTGCGGCGTGGCCATCCCCCCTGGGGGGTGATTTCTTGCTTTCTGTCTCTCTGTCTTTCTCTGTCTATCTGGCGAGCGCACGCGCCCTATAGCAAAAACCTCTCCAAAAAAAAAGAAAAAAAAATGAGATATGGGTGAAATTCACTTAATATAAAATTAGCCATTTGAAACTGAGCACTTTGGGACCAGCAGTTGGTGTAATGGCTTTGTCACTGGACTCCCATGTAGTCGACCACGGTTCGAGTCCCGGACCCAGTGGCTTAAACTCATGCCAGGCGCGTGTGTGTGTGTGCGTGCCCAGGATCCCGAGAGGAGGCTCCCCAGGGGGAGATTTCTCACTTTTCCTCTCTCTGTCTCTCTATCTTTCTCTGGTAAGTTCACATGCCCTATGGCAAAAATCTGAAGAAAAAAAAAAAAAAAAACACACCCAAAAAAAAAAAAAAAAAAAAAAGGAAATGAGCAGTTTAGGGCTATCTTGCACATTCACAATGTTGTGTAACCACCACTTCTGTCTAATTCCAGAACATTCTTATTCCCCTGCCCACTAAGTATTCACTCCCCAACCCACTCTTGCCACAGCCACTGACAGCCAGCAATGTGCGTTCTCTCTCAATGGATTTATGTGCTCTGAATTCTTCATAGAAATAGGATCGTTGACTAGGTGACTTTTTGTGTCTGACTTTTTTCACTCAGAAAACAGTTTGTTCCTCCAAAAGTTAAATAGAATTGTCCAATGGCCTAGCAATTCCATTCTGGGGTTTGCACCCCAAAGGAACTGAATCAGGCCTGCAGACAAGTATGTGAATGTCCCTCCACGGAGACATCATGCACAAAAGCCATGGAAACAGCTGAAATGTCCACTGATAAGTATGTAACTAACCCATGTGCTCTCTATGCAATGGAATATTATACAACCATGAAAAGGAGTGAAGTCCTGATACATGCCGCAACCTGGCGAATCTGGAGCACACACAGAGAAGCCACCTTTTTCCTGGTTTGATCATCTGGTGCTGATCTCGGCTGCTGCATCAGACACAGCTACAGGCCTGAGATCCTGAAAGGCTGGACCCATCTCAGGACAGGGGCCACTGCTTTGTCACCGGGTTTCCTGTCCAGCCACATAGCTCAGCCTTAGCTTCTAGGGCTGGAGATTGAGAACAGATGTTTATAGTGTTTCCTGTTGTCTCTGTAGGTGTCTGCCTATGCTGTGGTCAGCTGAGTGGCTGTTCTCTGCAGAGCCGGGGAGGGGGGCTGAATCTGACCAGTGGAGGTTTCTTTGGGGAGCAACTTCTAGAGCAGCCATGGTCTCTTGCTTTCTGTGCTGGTCTGGGCACTGGAGCAGGTGGCCAAAGAGTTCTTCTAGCTGCAGCTGGCTCCAGGCAGTTTGCACCCCTGGGAGCTTTTCGGAGCCCTCCTGCTGTGCAGGGAGACTCAGCCCAGAGGCTTGACGTGCCAGCATCTGTGCTCATCCGCAGAGCAGAGCACCTGGCAGGGCGTCTGGCAGAGGGGAAGGTGTCTGAGGACGATCAGGCTCTTAGAGGAGGGGTCAGCTCTGCTGAAAAGCCAACAAAGCAAGGGTGCGAATGTCGAATCTATCATCTATCTATTATTTACCTATCTATCACTCTTCTATCCACCCATCCATCATCTACCTAGCTATCTAGCTTAGGGTGGACACAGGCAGCTTGACAAAATATAAGTCACTGAGCATGAGTTGAGCCATATGGTCACACATCAGTCTACATTGCTGTAGCAGCAGACCGACCAGGTCTTATCATATCCCCGGGGGACAGAAGGCCAGAGAGGTGCAGCCACTTGCCTATGGTTATCCAGCTTTAAGTGCAGAGCTGGGATTCAAACCCAGGTCTTTCCATTACCGCAACCTGGATTGCTCTCACTGTGTCCGGAAGCTTCTCCAGGTTCCTGCTGTGGGCATCGACATTTTTCGTACTAGTGCAGTGGTTGGTTTTTCAAAAACCGTCATTACAGTTGTGGCCTCCTTGGACCTGCACAGCCCCCAGGGCATCTTCAGATGCTAAGGAGCTCTTAGATGTGAGAAAATTGGAATTCCTAGTAGGGAGATGGGATTGCCTCCCTTTCCCTTCCTCGAGGCTTAGGAAGAGCATATTGCAAAACAGATAGCCTGGTGTCTGCAGCCAAGCGCTTGTCCTTGTTCTCACTGACTGTCCTTGCCGTCTCGGTATTTCCCTGACAGAGCTGAGGTCCAAATCTAGCGTGTGGTATTCGTCCTTTTTCTTGCAGGGATGCTCGCTGAGACTGGACAGAGAGGTCCCAGGCCCCTAGTGGCTGGCAGCCCAGCAAGCTGGAGAACTGTGCTTCCTGGGTGAGAGGGAGGAGAGGGTGAAACGGCAGGCACATGGGTCCCACCTCAGGGAGTCCCCTGCCCCCAAGGTGTGGGCTTGTCAAATGGTCTGCCTAGAACACAGCTTCCTGGAGACCAAGCGTCCCAAGGCCTCTCTCCTGGTGGAGGCAGGTCACTGTGCTGTGCACAGGTTCTGGTGACAGTAATTCTCCGACCTTTGAACATGGATAAATCTCCTTGGTCGTTGTATTTTTCTAAAGCTTAGCCTGGGGTGGGGACGAGGTCCTGGTGAGGTGTGGCCAGAGCAAGGAGAAGACGTATTATCCTCGAGGGGGTCTGTCTTGGAAATCTGCCATGCATACGGCCCCACTCAGGGCAGTTTGGGTAGAAAAATGTGGTTTTGGCTGGAGCCAAGAGTCCCTGCCTCACCTCGCAGAGAAAGTGGGTAGGCTGCAATTCAGGCGGGGAGGGATCCACCCCTTGGATCAGCTGGTCTGACCCGCCTCCCCTGCAAGTGCTGATGGACGCTCTGTTCTTGCTTCTCTGCTATTCTCAGTCACACAGAAGAGGGTGAGAATCTTATTATCGCGGCCTTTCACTCCCTCCAGCGTAGAAGCCAGGGAGCAGAATCACCTCAGTGGCTGTCGGCTCCTTCCTTTTATCCTCTCCCCTTTTTCCTAGCTCCAGAGCTGTGCACCGAGAGGCACCGGGAACATTCTGAGAAAGGCCTCACATATCTTGAACCCCCACTGTGTGCCAGGTGCCTTATGAAAGTGCCGGGGAGCCCCGAGCTCAGAGGCAGACACTGTTGCAGGTCTCCAGGTCACCCAGTGCACCAGAGGCAAGGCTTGGATTGGAATCCAGGTCCGGTGGGCTGCAATGGGTTTGCTTTTTCTCTTGCTGCCTTGGGATCCTGGGGGTCGGTGTGCTCGCTGGGCGAGCCTCCTCCTGAGTCCCAGTCTTCAGTGCTTTCTCGGAGCAGTGTGGGTGTCTGAACTGGGCACTCGCCCCTATCACCAGCTGTTTGTGCGCTCCCAACACCTCCCCAGCTGAGGCCGGCTTTCTCGAAGCAGTGTGGGTGTCTGTCTGAACTGGGCACTCGCCCCTATCACCAGCTGTTTGTGCGCTCCCAACACCTCCCCAGCTGAGGCCGGGACTGGCATTTCAGCGATCATTTTCTAACAGAAGGAATGCTCTTTCTTGCTCAGCAAGTGTCGGCTCATAATTACCAGTGTAATTAGAGCAGGATTTACCATCCGATCCTTCGTGGGAGCTGAGAGCCTGTCTGCACAGGTAGCTTTGGCATAGAAGGGCGTCTGGCTCCCAAGGACCCGAGTGTGGTTGGGGCTCCAGCAGAACCACATAAAACTACCCGCTCCCTGTGCCAAGGCAGAGTTGGCCACTCTCCAGAGCCTTCTCATTGC